AACGTAGATTAAAAATGTCCTTGTTTATTTGTTAAAGAATAAAATGCTAGGAAAATAAAACGTTACTCTTAAAACTGGCCTTGGAAAGAGAAGTCGTCACTTACAGGAATAGCGGCGAAAAATACCGATCAACTGACGTGGTAAACAAACTATAGAGGACGCATAGCTTTGAACGGCCAACGTTCTCAACATAGCAACAATGCGATGACAGACAGGCCTAGTCTACATGCACAACTGTACCACTGCAAGTCGACAAGCCTTATTGACAAATCGTAAGCCTATTTCATGTTTGGTGACTTATTAAGGCAGTGACGTCGACTAAATGTTTTTTTTTTATTTTAGGATGCAAATTAGAGTCTTTATTCTATGGTTACCAGCACAATAAACCAACTCCACTGGTAATACCAGAGAGCAAACAATAATCTTTAAATGGATCATTATGCTTGAATACGGTTAGAAAAATTAAAATCATTCTCATCAAAACCATATGCACAAATCTATAAAAGTGTACGCTTGATCTATAATTGAACCAAGCAGTTTCATTGCAAGCAGTAGAATGTTTAATTACTAGCCACTAAAGATTTTGAATGAAAAATTACACTTTAAATTGATTTTAAAATGTGTTTCCAAAAAGGTTGATACGTGGATTACTTAAAGAATAAATGGGTCAAACCCGTTATATTGGTTATGCAGTTATTAAAATTGATCCAAGCAAGATGAGTTTTTAAAATAAAAGGTACTTTTAGTATTCTAGAATTGCGATCTCATTACATTTCTAATTAGTATCCTTTTTCTTGCCTAAATTACATAAATATTTATATGGCGTACCGCTTAATAGTCACTAGTCAGTCAGCCGCCATAATCATTTTAAAAGAGAGGAAACTATGAATAATTACTGAAAAACAAATAAAATACATAGGGTCTATTATAGGGAGGTGATTGACTTTGAAAAAGCAATGCCTAAAACTAAATCACAACTTAATGATGTTAAGTCCAATAACCAATATAAAAAAGACTACAGGAAGCCACAATAAAGAATCCTTTATCTGCTTCATTCAATTAGTTGGTTGTGATCGTAAAAGCGTCCCAGTTGCAAGCAAGGCTGATAGCCCTTATCACCCAACATGTCACAGTGTCACTGTAGTTACTTTACTGGCACAACGTGTTATCTCCAGGTAACGGTTACTTCTGAGGTCAGTCACACAGGGAGCCGCTCCGAGTGAATAACACAGAACACCACCTTCACCTAGGCCACATTGCTACTTGCTGTTAGTTACTGGGGTTTGGCATTATGCTACGTCGTATGAGCTGTCCCTATTTATTGTACTGTACATCCTAACCAATTTTGTAAAAAGGCTGATAAAATGCACATATTTGGCTTTATACCAATGATTCACGAGACATTTTAGGGGTTGCTGTTAAAATAATATTTACGAATGTTCACCAAATACACTTAGTTTGTGTAACAAGAATGATATTCAACTTAACTGCATTTAGATTTTTTATAAATCCCTGTTGTTTGATGATTATAAATGAACTTGATACAAATTTACAGTAACTTGACTACAATCACAGAATTAATTAATTATATGGCTCAACCGAAAATTAACGTTCCCAAGATATTTGCTTGGTGTTTGTGTACAACAACCAAACTTTTCGTATTTATATCCTAAATCCATATTACATTGTTACTTCCATTTCCCTCCAAAAGATATGCATAACAATATTATATTTTATGTGAGAGTTTTATTTTATTTTAAAAATGTTTGTAACCGAAAAACGCTGGAAGAAGTTCCGGTATTTTTGCGGTAAACGTATTTAGGAAATAAAGATCAAAACTATCTATTTCCATTCCATAAATGTTAATTTTAAGAAAACTAATGACGGTGATAAAAATCTCACAAACCCAACAGTTATCGCTCCTCTGGCAAAACAGAGTTGTTCAACGGGTAGTAAGTGCCCTTGGCGTCATACTGTAACCAACGATATAAACAAGTAGTTATTTTACATCGTTGACTGTAACACTGTACAACCATACGAATCGACGCCGTAACTTCGCCGAACGACAGCTAACCACCCAAAACCTTGTTTATGATCTGCCATAAACCTAACCCCATTACCAGGTCGTGACTATTGGTGGGGGTGTAGGTGTTGCCTGAGGTCTACTGGGTCAGAGGTCGTGGGGGGTCACGTGATTAGAAAGGGTCTGTACAGTTTCCTATCATATCGATACAATACGCCATCGCTGCCGTGTAGGTAGGGTTGAAATCAACAAACAGACCGCCTTTGAAGTAATAATGTAAGGAATATTTTGTTATGTCAAAATCTTGTCCAGTCAAAGAGGAAATATACTATAGTTGCAATTTAAGGAAACGTGTGCTACGCACATTAACTGACTTGGTTGAAATGAAATATTTACTATTTGAATTTAGGTTGGCGTAAATATTACAATGGAAAAAAGCAAGATAGCCTGGACAAGTTGATATACTGTACTAAAAAGAAAACTGAACTAACAATGTGCTGTATTGTTTTTTTTTGTTTTTTTTTAATCAGGTCAAAAATATATTCGTTGTTTTCCTACCTCAAAATTGTCAGTCGATCAAAAAGTTAAGTCAGACCTTGAAAGAGTTTTTCCTGTGTGGATCCAAATATAAAGCAATAAGTTATACTATAACGTATACCTTAAAAGCTCCATGCTCTCTATACAGTATTTGTCTTGTGATAACGAATGACTGAAATATTAATAATGAGTGTGTGTTTCTGCGTTTTCGAAGCCCTTTACATCTGATTTCTGCGGACTGATACCAGATGTCCAAACAATATCACTCAAACATAATATGCAGAACCGTAGACAACACAAACTCAATTAGCTTTTTAAACCTGCCACGAAATTTCATTTAATTGAACATAACAATCAAAAACAGCTCCCACAGCCATCTGTGTTGATAACATCTGTTTAATTAATCTAAAGCCTCATCTGAGAGATTGGGACGTGGGGACGTGGGACCGGTCGCCCACCACCTCCTCCGGACCCTGCCTGGCTGGTGGTGGTCTGTCATCAACCTGTGTCTCCTAAACTTACGACCACGCACGACAGAGTGTGGAGGATGTATCCTCGATCAAGGTTGTGTAATGAGAGTTCATTTTAAAATGTTGATTTTAAAATTAGTTCCACTTGGTAAAATGCAGATTTTAAGCTGTGTTTTTAATTTTCAAAAACAGTTATTAAGACTTTGCTGGCACACTTTCGATGCGTAAGAATGGTAAGAACTAGGAAGCGAATGTAACTTCAGGTCGAGTATGCGTTGAGGGTTGAGACGATGTCTACGTACCTGATTCTTCTGCCCAAACTACTGTAGGTTTATGACAAAGTATAACTATGATTGTCTATTAGCTTTTAAGCAGTGACGATTGACGTTTCCCTGCATAAAAGGGGACAATATATTATTACAGTAATATAAAACTTTGTTTATCTTTTGTACTCTAATTAATATTCTTGTAAACTATAACTCAAAACAGTTTTAGCGGTACGGTTTTTATGGTTCGATTCAATTCAATCCAAGTCCAAATATTTTATTAGTAGTTATTATACTTGATTGAACACCAAACCAGTGAAACCTTTCATTTTCCTATTAATTCCATTCCAATTGGAAACAAGACGAAAAATAGTTTGAACCGCTTTCCTTGTCTAAACCGCTACAAAAGTTATGAAATTGTGTTACCCCCGTCAACCCCCCACCACTCCACGCTCATACACCCCAAACATCACAGACTACCTCGCTTCTACTATTTCCCCCTTACAACTGACATTCCAAACAAAAGTAAAAGCAATAACATAGAAGTCAGTTTAGGTTTGGACAAGAATGCGTTTAATTGCCCAGCGCTCGTCGTATCCATACTTCTACAGTGACAAGGACAGTAGTTAGCTGGAGGTATAACCGTTAGAGCAGCTCTTGTGGCTTTAAATGTCTTTGGAACAGATTTAACGGTCTCTGGAGACGGACGCTTTTAAATGTCTGTGACCAGATTTAATGTCGACATTCCTTACGTAAGTGTCTTTGATGGATCGTTTCGTCTACTTAACAAGAGTTTATGTCGATTTGCTCCGGTTTCAGTACTAATCCAACTCCAGACATGGCGTTACGTTGGTAAAGAACGCATAGTTTGATTTCAAACTAACACCTTGTGACTTTACAACATTTGCAGCATAAATAACTACGTACACAAGTTTTATAAACATACTAAACTTGATAACATTGTATTGCAGCGCTATCTTTTAATGTTGACACTTATAATACAAACTGAATCCCTATAAGTAACGAATTACATTCATAGGCTATTGAAAGATCTCAACACTTTAGGCGGATTATAAAAGGATAATCAAAGAAAACTTTAAATTGGGTACAGTACTTATCTATAACCGCTATTGTGAATTGTAGCTAAAAACGTAATTTCCATAACCATGTATTTATTTTAATGTCTTGGTTATTTATCCATCTCCAACGATCAGTGGCATTAACAGAGATGAAAACTAAAGACGTAACTATTTAATCTGCTTACATTCAAAATCCCTCAATGCTGTTAACCCTTATGTTCAAACGATCAAATCATACACACTAAGCTATAATTGCAAATAAAATGGACTAAGAAGGTCATCTCAAGAGCCAAGACGTTGAGACTTCGCGGAAATAAACAAACATTTTAAACATGGAGGAACTTCAGTAAACAATTGGTCAGCTGTTTGTATGCAGACTGCGGATAAACGCGTATGAACTGTTCGGGAATTTAATTTGGCTCAGGTCCAGCGCAAGGATGTAAAAAAGTCTCGAGTTAACTTCAAACTCTACAATCGACGAACTTATTAAATCTTTGATTATGTTGGATAAACCCTGTAGGTAGACAAACAGTGTGATGAAATTTTTCTGTTGAGTATTTGTTTTGTTAACACTTTTAAAATATTTTCCTACGAACAGCAGCCTACAATAGAGTTGATAACTTACCTAAACGTCCACCAGATGTTGAAGCACATTGTGTTGAGCCAGAAGAAAGCAGCAAGGAACATGAAGTGCATCGCGATTGCTGAAACAAAAAACAAGTGTTAGAAAATAAAGTATAAATATACAATAATTATGTTAAACTACAATTATTTTCCCTAAAACCTACACACTGCCACCTAACATCATTAAAAGCGTTTCAAGGTTTAACAAAGCTGTAGAACAATGGTGATTTTGTTATACCTAATTACTGTAAAATATAATTTTGTATGGGTTTAATATCTTATGAAATGGAAAACATTGGATATTGTTACTCGTAGGAAGTTGGGTTTGAGTGATTGAGCATTCAGTGGTGAATTTTGTATGTTTAATTGGCTCAGCTGGCGTGATTCATTTAATTTAAATAGTGCCTATGTTATAATTTTAAGCCTATGTTACGAATGATGAATCAACTTTAGATCATAGGCCTAGTTGATGTTGAGAGGCTAGAGTGACGGATTTGATCCTATAATTTTCATAATCATTTGATGGGTTTTGACCGTCTCCTTAAATAGTTTGTGATTCTTCTCTTTAAAACACTACTGACTTGGAAAATTACAACAAATGTTATACTCGATTCATAACAGTGATATTATCATATTTGTTACAATCCAAAAGCATGCTCCGATTGCAGGTCACCAACTCATGGATTTTGTGGTTTTTTGGTCAATAACAAGAATTGCCCTTCAATACCAAACAATTGAGTATGTAACCTAATTGTAAACTATTTCCAATTCACTTATTAAAAATAAACGTAAACATTTTTTTATAAACCTAGTACAGTTTAAATATGCAATACCGAAATACAACACACCACACGACAGTGGTCATGCAGTTTGTTATGCAAAACTAATGTTAGTAGAATTTAACTATAGCCATTCAACCACGAGTCGAGATACCATTCATTCAACCATTATTCAGCAAGATAATAATGTGGTTGAAGAGTTTCTTGTAATTATAGGTCTTCTGAGGCTGCTTTAATTAAATGCCGCGCAGATTTTGGACAGAAACCTCCAAAGCAATCGTGAGTTTACAAATGGCGTTGTCGTGTCTCAATTTGAGACCACCCGAAACATAATTTAGTTTTTTGCGAATGTTTTCTCTAATCATTGTTCCACGTTCTTATGCATAGAAGTATTAAATAGTTGAAAAAAAATTAAAAGAGCTTGAGTTTGAAATGAAGGCTGAGCATAATCTGGCAGTAATTACTTGAAGTATTATGAATGAGTAGAGCACTGATTACGAATTATTATTTGAGCTACTTGCTGTTAACAACTGATACGAGGCTTCTCAAAAGTCTTCGCAAATAAATTTATTTTAAACTGAAATGGGCAAATAGTCAAGCGGCATTTATAACGAGAAGCGATTAATCATACCCGTACATAAGGGCATAAATTTAATACTAAAGTAGTCGAAAAGTGAATAGATCATAGAGTAAAAAACTAGATATTTTAATGTTAGTAAAATGTTTTGAGGAAAATATGGAGTTAAAGGTAAAATAAACTTTGATTGGTTTGGTTTTATGTAATCGTAAAGCTGAATTAATCTTGAATTAAAAAAAAATAAATCAACAATAAGTTTAGTTTCTTTTCCGAGATGGAAATTGCAAAGGTTGACAATGGAGCTGATTTATGTAACAGCTGATTTATTGAACAGGTGGTTTCTCCCTCCTTTTCGGGCGGTGGCGGCGCCGACTTGCCTTGTACGGATTAGAACTCATGACCTTCTAGAGAGAAGTTGGTCCACTTCGCTCCAGTCGATGGGTTATTCATGGCTTGAAGCTCGACACTACCCTGAGGGGGTTGGTGGCACGGTTATCGTATAAGGTAGGCTATTACACGGAGAACAGTCGGAGATGGTTGTCTCACGGGAAACGTTATGCAAGCCCCACAACAAAGTTAAAACCATACGACAGGATTCGTGCGCAATTCGCGAATTTTAATGGGATTCAACATTTGTCTCCGAGACATATAGAATAATAAAATGCACCTTTGCCTTTTGAAAATGACTTAACCTAGCTGAAAAAAATAAATCATGAAAGTAATTGTAGAATGATTTATAGGCCATTTAAAATTTATTTTCAAAAACTGTTTTGTCTCTTGTTTACAAATGTCTGCCCGTTGGGTTCAATTTTGTAATTGATGTGATTGACCTGTATGATGGAAATTTCATTTTCATGAGTGTCATGAAGATTCAGATATTGCAACCTTTATGTTTAGTATCTTTAAAAATTCAAGCTTCGACGTGAATTAAAAATAAATAACTTTTTGAACTCAGTTTTTACGCAAACTATTTTTCGTAACAACACCTGTTCCCACATTTTTTAACACCTAAAGATGCAATTTTTACAATCTTGCCAGGCGCGCTAACTACTGGATCATTTCCATAATCGTCGGCAAAGACCAGAGCTTGTTATGTGTTATTACAGTAACCTGTGGTAAAGAGGTTGAGCCTTAGGACTGAGGAAGAGGTTGGTAATGGGTTGCGAAACCCGCTATCGGGGCTTGTGGTCGCCAGCTGCGATATGCCCGCTGATTGATATTGCGAATACGAGGGTTGAAATAGCGGACAAAATACGGTAGGGTGATTGATCATTGAGTGGAAGTTATGTGTAGTCAACTGCGATGAACGGAACTAGGGGGTTTGGTTATTAAAACATTTCCTACTAACTCTCACATTCCTATGTAGGTTTATAGACTCTTGCTAGTGAATACCGTAACTTAATTTACACAGCAGATTACTACCGATGACCACCGGAATTTATTCTATTTTCTAGCTTTCTAATTCTAACCCTGCATTTCAATTGACCACTCTGTGTTATTTAAGAATCCTAAATACACTGTTCAACACAACTATCGATTACCAAGCAAGCCACACATGGCCACTAGCACTGGCCAGTATGCAGTAATCTATGCTGTGCCATTGCGCCATCATGAGCGTACTTGAGATGATTTGTCTGTTTGCCAGTGCCTCTGAGATCAAGTGGTAATCGATGCTTTACATTCTCCTGCTGGAGTGGAGTTATCGTGTTTATAAATAACTCAAACAATTGATTGCATGATTGTTTATAGCTTTGTTTAAAAAGCGTCGGTTGCATTGTGACGTCAAGGAGGGACTTGAATGGATCGTTGTATGTAACGAGAGTTTTTGAATATTCTATAAAATGAATTGATGGTTTTTGTGTTAAATAACATTTAAGATAAGCCCGAAGTAGGTTCAAATCATGCTGTAAGAAACTAATAAAACGAAAATGGCGTATACACGTACCTGTAGAAAAACAGCACAGAGTTTTTAGTATGCCCAATCATAAATTTGATATTGTGTACCAATCACAATTTCATTATTGAATTTTATCCTCAATTGAAGCTGAAGCTGCTAAAAGGGCGCCTAGCTCGAGATGGGCCCTTTTAAAGGAGAATCACTATTTCGCTTCCTCATGTCTTCTAGTATAATCTTTACTAGGCCTTAAGAAGACTCCTGGACGACTGGTCATCAAGACATTAATTCGATTGTTAATAATAGAAACTACTAAGTGATTGAACAAAATTTTAAAGAACCGCAAATTTAATCAGTTTTGTCATTTGAAGAAGATTTTAAAAGGTTTTTAAACCATTAGCCATTACCTACTTGGGTGGAATAGTTGAATCGGTCAAAGACTTTGAGACTAACATATGAATAATTAAAAATGTAGGATATTGAATCGCCCAATGATTACAATGCTATGCAATGGATCTGAACTCTTCAAAGTAGAAGAGGTTTAGACTAAAAGAAGCCTGGCATCAGACTTTCAAAGAGCGTTTCAAATACTAGACGGCAGGTTCCTGCTATGTGTATACAACATTCTGTAATTGTGTATTCAGGATTGCAATGCGTCCAAGTGAATCGCAAGAGGGTACACCAAGATTACTCCTTGTCCAACATAATTTGCACATCCAGGATACCAAAGCTGCCAACAGAAGTAGCAAGAGGATACAGTAATGCCAACCTTGACGTGCCTATGTCCCAACAGGGATCGGTCAGTTATTAGCCACCACATTATCATATAATGAGAGCTCTCCACTACTGATTACACGTTTGCCCGCAGCTACATTCACCTGACTTCGCCGATTTCAAACGCGGATTCGCAATTTGCTGGTCTTCCAATTATCATTGGGAATGGTGATAGGCGTGATAACACTACGGTAATCTCGAGTTGCGCTGAGAAGTTCCGATTATCGAGGTTTGTGTCAGTTTTCAAGTGCAAGAGGTGATTTCCAATCTTGTCCACGGTCTACTTGCAACGAGGCATTTCCGTTGTCCTGCTGAGTTTCCGGTCATTGTTCCTGGAGAAATTAATAAGTTCTCTTCCTTGGGAAGGAAACTAGATTCTTCAGATACAAAGAAAAACTGCACTACTGACCTAACACAACATTAATACTTTCTCATAACAAGTTAATGTGTATTTTGATCAACTTTTAAATCAACCACGGAATCAGGCCAGGAGTACCTATTTATTTTAAAACTTTACAAAAACCTTTTACCATCTTGAAAAAAGTAATAGTTACATACAATTCTAACAATTAGTATTTGTTTTCCTGTTTTTATTGAAACCGCCAAAAGAAGCGACGAACTAGTCTTGAGATACACATGAGGTCCTGGGAGACCTTGCAGGACACAGGAACATCTCGCTAGATTGTCATGGGAGGAAGTATTGTGGAAGGCCCCGACAAAAACTGGGCCTTGGATTCCTTCATCCTTTCATCCTTCCATACATAGCACCACATCAATGCCTGTTTTTCTCCCAGCAGGCTATTCAATGCGGCGCTGAAAGGTCCGGGCTACGAGGTGTTTTTTGCTTCAACAACATGACATTGAGCTTATATTGGTCGAAATGCATATTTTAATCAATATAGGGTACACTGATTGACAAAACTTGTGGATAGTAGTCAAACGAATGTTTAAGCGATTTTCCATGTAGGGAATAAGCTATTACCGTAGGTCTCGTGGTAAGACCTGGACCTGGGGCCGATTTACTTTTTCGTTTTGAGGTCCACAGAGGCCAAATCA